GGAAACCATCAAATGATTAAGTTAACCACTTCATATATAGTTTTTACAAAGTAGTAAACGTTTCTGATATGTTCAACAGAATATTCCATATATAATAAAATAAGTAAGTAAAGAATGAAGTGTATTTTTTTCATAGATAAATAACAAGGTTGTGTCAAACACAATAATCTCTTGCAAAGCAAGCAAAATTTGCTCCATGTATTGGGACTGAGAAAGGTATTTTTATTCCTACTGTGATACATAGCAAACCCAAAAATACTGGATGAACTAAATTGAAATCTTTGCAAGAGATTTATCTATACTTTGACAAGCTGTTTACTTTTCCATGAGAGAATCTGGGTTAGAACTCCCTATAGAGCCCCAAAATGCCTATAAATCAATTGTACTGAATGTCACCTTAGAGATGGTGTTTACACCCTTGAGGACTTTGTGTCATTGTTATAATGATAAACTTCTACTTTGCAGTAATAAACTTCCCTCTGTTTGATATATTATTCAAGGATTAGCCAGCAGAGTTGAAATTGGTGCATGTTTTTTCCCTAAAGCTCAGTGTTTTTGGAGCTGTACAGTTGGAAATAAAGCTGATTAGTTCCAAGATTAGTTCCAAGTCAGGCTGGTGCAGTTTGTGAGGTTAACTCTATTTCCAGAATTTCCTGTTGACTTCAGCGCTATCTCAGGAAGGTCCTGCAGCAATGTAGTGGCACCACTTCATAGGTGAAAGTTTTCCCTGTTGCACAGAGAAATTCAGATCTGAGTTAAGATGACTTTTCATTTTGTTTGTGCTTTCTGGTCACTGGTCTCTCCTGGAAGTCAGAATTGTCACTAGGACATTTCAGAAAGACCTGCCCAAACAGCTACAACTCTGTATTCTCATATGTCCTGCACATTTCTGTCCACTCCCATACACTCATTTTTATCTTCTGTACGCCTGTATGCCTCAAGATGTGTTCATCTTATTGAACCTCTGGTTGCTGTTGCAGTCCTGGTGCTAAGTCACAGAGGCACAATCAACACGTTGGCTAACATGCAGTGCTAAGATGCAATGAGCCTTGTACCAATCCAGTTTGACAGCTAACAGACTCCCAGTGAGCTGATTTAAGGTAAACTCATGCTCAATTTCTATGCCAGGAGATATTTTTTTTTCTGATTCCCCACAAGGCTGTGGGATGTAAAAGCCCATTTACCTGGAGCTGAGAGGATAAAGTCTCACTAAGTTAGTCATTGACACAATTCCCAATTACAGCTGGACATGCATATCTGCAAAATTAGTTCTCATTGTATGACTATAGGCAAATTAGGCTGCATTTCAGCCAGACTTTAACAGGTCTTAGAAGCTAATGGCCTTTTCACCAGGTCATATACAAGAATCCAGTTTGAGCCTGCTGGCTTCCTTATTAGTATTTTAGTTAGGAAGAGAAATAAACTATAGTGGGAATTCTAATAAGAAACTTATAACAGTTTCAAGCCCCTTATTTTTCCACTAGAAAGTTCCAAAAATTTAAACAAAAACAGATTAAAAAAAAAAAAAAAAGCTTTGCTGCATTACACAGTGCTTGTCATCCTTCCACAGCTTTGCAGCCACAGAGTCCCTTCTGCTCTCAGGTTTGTCACCAGAGGGACACTGCTCACATTGTAAGACTTTAGCCTGCTTTTGTCAGGGGCAATGCTGAAAAGTCAAAAGCTGTGGGCTGATTAATCAGCACAGAGGTACTAGGTCAGTCCTATCACCTTTCATTCTTGGTCTCAATTTCAAAATAATCAGAGTCCATCCTGATCTGAATGATTCCTGTCCTAGACAAATAGCAAAGTTGAATCTGTGTGTGAGAGACTTTACTGTTACCCATCCCCTTAGATGTATTAATTTATTGACTGATTCATTTATGTAAACTAAATTCTGGCAAACCACATAATTCTAGACTCATCCTATTAATTTGAGTTTCATGTGCAGCATTACCTGCACTTCTGCAAGATGCACAGAGGAGTCTGTAGACAAGAATTGTCTGGGTTCAGTCAAAGGAGGCTTTGTACAGTGAATCTCAGAATTGCCTTTGCTCAATGGTCATGGGCAATGGTCATGTTGAAGGTTTTTCTCCCTATGGATTAGGATGTCACCCATCACTTATTTATGCATGTTAGGAGCTGCAAGTTTTCCCTACAACTATCTCTTGTCTGATATTTTGATGTGAGCTCATGTTTCAGCCTTTCATCTGTCATGTCAGGAAATATATTTTGTCATCCTTTTTCAGCTGTTATTTTGCATAAATGTATAGCCCGTAAATGTCTTGAATTCTTTTTCTTTGGAAAAATTTCTGGAAGGTTTGCAACAGATTTTTAAGGCATTGCAACTACGGCACAGAGGCAGATGGTGTAATCTTACAAATTTATAGAAAATATTATAATTTCTTTTCTCTTCAGTGATCTCTTTTTTATTTGAAGGAGCTTAGCTCCTCTGAATTAAAAATTTAATGGTCAACAGAACTGGAAATAATATTTTGACTTCCTGCACTTTCAGATGCTTAACCTGATAAGAGATCTTCCTCATGATTTTATTTTGTGCATAGTGAAGCACAGTAATATCCAACAGGTTTAAAATGTTTCCATGGTTATATAATACAAAATAAGACTTCAAATGTGAATTTTATATTCCAATAAATTTGGTGACTGTTGATTTTAAAGCATATTAGATCATCCATGAATAGGAGGCCTTTAGAGCATCAGGCTGTTTAGGAACAAGTGGTGGACAGCTTTGGAGAACTTCTCTTCTTGGCATTTTTTTATGATAATTCAACTATTGAAGATAATTTACAACTCTGCTGGTTCTATACCAGAGACCTTATGTGATGGAATTTATATCACTTTTCCTTTTAGACATTTAAACCACATGTCATTCTAGAAAAACGAGGACAGAGGTCCAACAAAGGAGTGATTTATTTTCAGTTAAAATACTAGCTACATTAAAACCACATGTTATTAAGTACTGTATAACCAAGCCATGCTTAGAAGAATGCTTACGACACCAAAACTTGCTTAAAATTACTCTTTTTTTTTTTCCCCAAAAAAAAATCTTTGGCAGTGCGCACATTAACAGATTTTACCTGAGCTGTATAGTACATTGACTATACTTCTCCCTTGGAGAAAAAAAAAACAAAACTATTAAAGTGCCATAGTACAAATTAATTCAGTTCCTTATTATTTTTTCTTTCTTACATTTCTGGATGCTTGAACTTCTCTGTCCCTTCCAGCTATCATTTCATCTCTGTAAGTATCCCTCCTGAAACAGCAGAATACAATTAATGATGCTAAGACTGAAACACAGTTTTTCAAAGAAGTGAAACTATGTGTATTTGGGGCATATGAGCAGCATGAACTCTCATAGTGCTCCTTGGAGAAGAGTAAAGTAACACACAGAACTAGTGCACATGAATCCAAGATCAGGAGGGAAATAGGAAGGATAGAATTAAGGGGCCCCAATTTTGTTTTCAGAATGCAGATACTGAGGACAAGTTTCTGTCCTCATTTTGCTACACTTCCACACCAGATTGCCTAGGACGTGAAGGGATTTTTTAATGCTAATGTTGCCAAGTGAGTTATCCAAAGCTCAGTGGGAGTGACAAGTGAAGGATTTACCCTGTAAAAAGAATTCTGCCATTCCAGTGAGTTTCCAGGCTGGTTCTGTGAATGTGTGTCTGGATCATACTGGCACAGAGAGGGTGCTTGGGGGACTGGGAATTCAGCTGGCTCACCTGTGTGCTCTTAGGAATGCAAACCTCTGTCAAGTGCTGTTGATTCACTGGTCATATTCTGTTTAATTTGCACCTTGCATGGACTAGAAAGTCTGTTCCCATGCTTTGGAAGAACTGCAAAAGCATTAATGAATCACCACAACACCACTGTCTCACAGGTAATTGCTGAAAAGTTTTAGCCTTAAAATGGGATTAACCACTTTCTGTCAAACAGTCTTTAAACCAAACAGGGATCAGAAGCAGCAAATTTCTCTGCTTGCATGTCTGAAATCATTCTAATTCAGATGTTACAGTCACATCTTGAAGTCATTAATACTACCTTAAGCTTGCCTGATATTCTCATTTTTCCTGAAATTACTTAGCTCAAGCAGATTCTGCAGTTCTGATTCTGCATCAGCAACATGCTAAAATTTGTAATGTGAAAGGTACAACAGCTTGTTATGTGTCTTTTTTAAGCTCTTGGCTGCATTACTGACATAAAGTATATGTAGTAGACAATATAGTTTGTTAGACAATAGAAACTCCACTGAATTAAAGCTGGCTGGTTTGCTGTTTGGTCTCTTGGATGGAAACCAATACCAAGTAACAAAGGAGATGGTGCAAGAGACCTCACAGTGGACAAAAAGGACCATGTGGTAGACTTGATGTCCCATGCCTAAATCATAAACTGTCACATTAAATTTTAGCATAATATGAATCATTCATGTCCAAAATTATTATTTAATCACCTTCCCAATAAGTTCCTGCACTGCACAGTGTATATATATATTTTTATTTTACCAGCCTGGTGGTGGCATCAGTAGTCACAGCTGAAGTTGCTGCCTAGCTGCAGTAAGTACAAGGCAGCTGTGCTCCTGCTGCCTCCTTTGCCTTTCCCGAAGCACTAGAAAGTGGTTGTTGCCACCATCCTTGAAAGAATATTGTGGTGTGTGCAGTGTGGCAGCTATTGCTGTGTTAAATTGAGAGGAAAAACTCAGTTTGGGCTTCTACTCCTTGGTGGCATTTGGAACAGAAAGTTTGTCTGTCCAGGCATCTCTCAATTTCATTTCCCTGTTATGGATTATTGTCCAGAAAATACTGTCCTGCATTGGTTTTTTTTCCCCTAAAAATAATGCAAGTTGATTGTACATTTTCACTTATTAAAATTCTTATTCTCTTTGCACAAGTCTCAGTGTTGTCTTTTTCATAATATGGATGATCACCTGTCTTTTTTCCATATAGCATCATCCAACTGACTTACCTTTTCTCTTTCTCTAGATGTTTCCAGATGTGTGGCTGAGAGGAAGTACACCCAAGAACAAGCACGCAAAGAATTTCAGCAAGTTTTCATCCCAGAATGCAATGATGATGGCACATATAGTCAGGTTGAAATTTTTTTATTCAGTGTCTTGCATGACTGGAAGGTCAGAGTATGTGTGTTTGAAAAGGCTGAGGAAGAGGCAAATGTAATGAAGGGAAATGTCATTTCAAAATTAAATGTAATTTGTACCAACACGTCAAAAAAAAAAAAAAAGGAAGGAAAATCTGTGTTATATGTTGAGTCCTTGTTCTCTTTTTCACAGTTGGCCAGCACAAGAGCCAAACATTACCACTGTTCATGTAATACACTCCCTGTTCTTCTAGGATGAGGCAGCTGAATCATTCTTGTAGCCCCCTGAATACTCATCAGATGGTAAAATGCTTGGAATTTGTGATCTGTTCCTGATTTGAACCAGAAATCGTGCAACTGGAATCCATATCTTAAGTGCTAAATCATGAATCATACAGAATCCTTCTATATTCTCTGCTGAATTTCTTCACAAGCATGTGGTCTGAAACTAATTTACTTAGATCACGGAATTCAGAAGGAACACAGTTAGAAGCTTATCCTGAGGTATATTTTCCAATCATGATCCCCTTCTGTCCCCTCTGTACTGCATTTTGATCCTGGAGTTGTGCAGAAGACAACTTTTCTTTTTTTAAGCATGATGAGGCAAGTGATATTGGCCCTTAGAAAATATAATGCAATTGGTTTTTAAGAGGAATTCCAAGAGTTTCCTTTCTGACAGCTTGGGATATGAATAATGCTGGCAGAAGCACTCTGTCCTGCTCCTTCAGTGGGTGGAACAATATGTTCTCTATGTGGGAAAAAACTCAGGATTGCTTGTTTCAGGAACAGTTTATGTGTCCCTTGAGGAACATCCTTGTGAGGTTTTTATAACACCTGCACCTCAGTCATCTAAGACAGGGTGTAAACAACCACATAGCTCAATAGTTTTCTCTTCCATTTGATTCTGAAGGACCTACCACACTTAGCTTGAAATATGCTTTATGTTAAAAAATCGTATGTAGGACTGAGATGGGCCCATTGTGGTTTATTGTTCTAGGTTTTGTCGATACAGTTTGCTGGATAAGTTTCTGTACTCACGTGCCACGAGTGCTGTGGGATAACAGGCATGTGTCTGACAAGCTGCACATGGTTCTTGTTGTTTCTGACAGGTTCAGTGCCACAGCTACACTGGATACTGCTGGTGTGTCACTCCCAATGGCCGTCCCATCAGTGGTACTGCTGTGGCCCACAAAACTCCCCGCTGCCCAGGTAAATCTTGTTTGTCTGGCTAGGTTAGGATGGTATGCCATGAACAGCAGCTTATCTGTGGCATCTGATTAGACTTAAGCAAAAGAAATTTTCACTAGAAGAGTGGTTCAGCCCAGAAACAGGTGGTGGTGGAAGCAGTGGATGCCCCATCCTTGGGGTTTGGTAAAATTCAGCTGGATGAGACTCTGAGAAAGTTGGTCTAGCTTTTCATGTAGCCATGCATGAACTCTGAGATCACTGCCACCTTAAGCCTTCCTGTGATTCTGGGATCCATCTACTTTATTTGTAAATTAATCTAGCTATTGAAGGTTTTCTGCAGTGGTCATTTATACCATATTTATGTGTCCACATATGAAACCAGGTGACCGAATTGCTGATATATCACTGTATGTCATAAACCTCCTTGCACAAAAACTCATTGCAAAAACATTTCAGAGGGATTTGCATTTTTTGATAATTCAATATTTAGAGTACAGAAAAAAACATAGCAGGACTGCCCATTTGAAACACAGCCAAATGAAAGAACTCCCACAGCACATTCCACAAATGACCAAATCCAGAGGAGAAATAATAAAATAAAAGCATTAAGAGCAAAATGAAAAAATTGCCTGCAGAAATTAACTGGCAAATCAAACTTGCTGCCTTGCAGGCTGCCTTTTGTCTTTCATCAGGACAATTAACAGGTTCTGTTTTTCAGGGGTTTGCTTCTGACCCTATTTCATTAACACTTATGATAAATACAAATCCCGAGTGTATGAATGGTTGTCAGAATCACTGTTCATGCCCCTTGAGGTTGAGAGAATTTTACAGAAATAGCTCTACAAATATTTGCACACTCTATATATTGTATAACCATTTGTGCTGCAGCACCATTCTCTGTCAGAAAGTGGAAGAAATAGCTTTAAAAAGCCAATCCTGCAATGTGAACAAAGCTGAAAAAGAAAGTGAATCAGGGAATTTATCTCTCCTGGTCTACTTCAATCATTCAAGTACAACCTTGATGTTTTTAACAAATAGATGGAGGAAGGAGGAGACCATTGCAGAAGTTTCAGCAAAGTTTATAGAAAGTTATTTTTATTTTTAAGGTCTTTTTAGTTAAAATGACTTGCAGAATTTTCCCACATCTTGCCTGTAGGTGAAATTTATTCAGAAATAATACTCTTCAGAATATTCCTTTTAATCCAGTCTGAAAAGTCACTGTGAAACAAGACTCAATTGTAAAAAATAATTTAAAATATTCAGAAACCTTAAGTAGTAGAAAATGTGCATTCATTTTCATTTTAGTGTTATTGTCAATTATAAATCATCTGCATCTTCAGAAGACACATGGATGTGTCTTCTTTAATTGTGGATGTGCCATCCTCGGAAATTTTTGGGGCTGGGTTGGATGGGGGTCTGAGCAGCCTGGTCTAGTGGAAAGTGTCCCTGCCTGTGGCAAGGGGTTTGGAATGAGATAAACTTTAAATTCTCTTGCAAACCATTCTGTGATTCTATGATGCTATGGCTAGGACAGCACTTTAGTGCTTCGGTGTAATTTTGAGTAGAGATGTTTTTACATGTCCATAGCCAGGGCTTCTCTGAGAGTGCACCTTTGTTTCTATCTCTGCAAAGTCCATTTTTCTATCCTCCATTTATACCCTCCTTGCCTGTCCTTTCACTGAAATCAGTGAAAAAAGGGTTATGCTCATGCTGAAAGTTCAATAAGTAACTGTTTGTCAGGTGTCTTATAACACATGGCACTATTTTGGCTCAAAATGTTGAATTATTTGCTATATTTTCACTTTTTGTATTTGTACTGATATTACTGAGGAGCAACTGCAGTGTAGTTCCCAGAAAGTTAATCAATTAATATGAGAATTATTCTATATCACTACAGGAACCTAACCCTAGCTCCTCTCAAAGGTATATTCATGTGCCTAGCAGATAAACTGCCAGACTGCTTCAGCTCATTTTTGGAGGGATGGGAAGGGAAATTGTTTTTACAGAAATGCTAAGGTGAAGGTCATAGCACTCAAATTGAATTTAGTAGCTCAGAGATAAATAAACCGCTCCAGGGCACAGGTGAGTATTCAGAGTCTGATTTTGATCCATGGAAAGATTGTGGGTAACTTTTCAGTTTTTATGAGACCCTGTGGGATTACCTCTGCACATTTCGTCCCCTGCTTGTATCAGTGTTCTCATGTTTTACTGTTCATCACTTCTCCTTTGTCCCTCAGGAAAGAAGTCCAGCCACAGCAGAGTTTGGAAGGAAGACTTGAAATGCTAGGGGATTTTACAGTGGTATTGGCTAAGGACCCAGTTTTGAGAGATCTGGAGAAACCTTCTCATTCAACAGAGAAGGCAGCTACAGATTTTCTCAAAAAGTTATGGGGTATAATAAAGCAAAACTTAGTTCATTTATTGCAAAATGAAAGTCTGATGCACAACTGCATATTTCTCCCATTTCCAAGTATATATTCAAAATTGCCATCTGTTTGGGATAACAGAGTTGGGTTTTTTTTTTTCCTTGCAAGAGTGTTGATGTTTTCCAGATCACTTTTGATTCCCTTTTGTACTTTTTTATTTAGTACGACTATGCACAGGAATTATAACCCAAACTTCAGTGGGTCAACTGAAATTGTGTAGATATATTCTTATTTCAACTAGTATTACAGAGATGCCATTTTTGCCAATACTGCTGTCCCTTGTTAGTCCAATACACTGTGTCTTGCTAGCCTTGATGCAGGAATTGCCTTGCTATTTCTGATATGCAGGCAGATCTCCTGCAGTGGTGGCATCCTGACACCAGCATGTTTCTTTATTCTCACTGCTTCTTTGTATTCTGCAGGCTGGATGCTGTAGGTGTTTCAAAGTCATTTATACAAGTTCCTAAGTCTACCTGTATCATACCTTTTTCTCCCAAGACCACTTTTGCTATCGTTTTCCTTTAGAGGAAAATTTGTACAGAAAATTAAGATGCTTTTCTAATGATTTTCTTACAGGTAATGTGCTACCATAGAACGTATGAAAATTTTTTGCTTTTAAGAAAATATTCAGTTAATTTTCAGTTCTAGGTTAGTTCTTCAGCAACTTCAGATAAGGTTCAAGTACATTTCTAATGAACTGTGCTGTTCTGAAATTATAGGATAATTTCTTGCCTTTCATTTTCCCCCAGTGGAACTACCTTTGTTGAATGCCCAGAAATAAGAAAGAAGAAAGTCTGGAAGAACTTGAATTTCAATAGAGGAAATAGAGAGCAAAATTTAGGATGGGCAGTTAGGAGTTTGGTTTAGCAATTCAAAGCCCTATCCATGCTTCCCATTTACTGTGTGATACTGGATATGCAAAACAACCTCTACATTTCCCTAACTGTCAAGGTTGGTTAGCTGAATAACATGGTGTTTCTTAAAGTTATCTCAGGTCCAAAAAGTGTCCCATATCTATTTTTAATGTATCAACAACAGTTGCCTGTGCCATTTTTTTCTCATTGACTTGTTCTTGTTGCTCTTATTTAAGCTGCCTTTTGTGCAAGAGACATAAGATATGGAAGGATGAAGGTCATAAGCAGCATTAAAAAAATGCGGGACTTTCCAACTGTTTTATGTAAACCTTTGCTTTAATTACTATATCTTTATCTGAAAGAGGCTCTTCTTCCATCCTTTTCAGTTTTTCCCACATCAACATTTGGTACTGCTAAGACACACATGATAAATCTCAAAATACTGTTCCACTCCATGAAAATAGTCTTCACTATTGCAGGAGCAATAGTGAGAGGGACAGTAAATCAAACACATTCCCATGGTGGCATTAAAAAGAAAGCTCCTTAAAAATGATTAATGTCTCCCAGTACTTTCACTAAAGAGCACCAGACATAAAAAAAGGACATTTTTACAACTCTCCATCTCTGTTATCAGCTCTGCAGGGAACTACAGAAATTCCTTAGGCAGGGAGTCCTGAGAAATGGGGCAGAAGTTGAGAAGCAGGTGTTATATCATTGGAAGATACAGTCTTTGCCTATTGTAGGGGTTTAGGCCCCATTAAATATGCTGGGCTCCTGCCAGTGAGATTGCAAAGGTATGGAGATACATTTTATTCTTCTGTGAAGTAGTTTTTTTCCCTTTTGATTAAGATGGCATGATCATCTTTTATGGCCAAAATACAAGTAACTAGCTTTAGAAATTCAGAACTCCTCCAGTATACTATTGTATTGATAAGATAATGTGATGGAAAAACTATATTCGGAAAGGCAACGAAATTTTAAAGTTTCCATTAAATTTTTTTCATTACCTGGAGAAAAATATCCGTCCTTGAACCATCTAGATATTTAGTCTTCATACATAGTTCTTTGCCTGTACATACACAGTCAGACACAACCATAGGCGAGATAGGAATAGTAGGGGGAGTTTACCTTTCCTGATATCTGCATTCAGTGATTATCTATCAAATATTCTCTTGTAGGAGATCAGAAATCATTATCTAAACTGGCTAACAATAGGCTTTCACCTTTTTTTTAATAGCCCAGTCCCATATGATCAGAATGAGAATGATAGGAAATGGATGTGCTAAAATCAAAAACCACAAAATTCACATCACATTCCCTGGAAGGTTTATTGTGCCTCAGATGCTGTTAGAGTGAAATTGGATAGAATTGTAGGGTTTTCAATAAACTAAGGCATGAATATGTCTGCCTTTAAAAAAAAAAAGATCAGAATAGTAAATAGATAGATGGCTAAGCAAGCATGCAAGCTTGAATGGTGCTAAATTCTTCCTCTTGATGTAATGCTGCTGAATCTAATATCCCTCCTTGTCCTCCATCACTCCATAAGGATATGTATTAATGTGGTGATTTGGTTGCTTACAGTGTACTGAAAACTTGAAAGCCAGTTGCATTGCCTAACTTTTAGATAAGTTATAAGTTGGTTTTGTTTCCTGACTAGCTGAAAATGTGGGGATTCATCTTAATATTGAAGACACAATTTCCTAAAAACTTGCAAATGCAACTTCCTATCATCACTTCAGCTGGAAGTGTTTCTACCTTAAATATATTCAGGAAATGGTAGAAAAAAGATACAAACTCAATAACTCCTTACCTCGAATTTGGAGACAAGAAGAAAAGTTTATGCTGCATAAATTGAAAATTTCAGGTGGAACTATATGAAGGGCACAGGCTTTCTTTTATAGGAAATTCTGTGAATATTATTATTGACTTCTTAAGACTATTTAAAAAAGTAATGTTAGCCCAGTAAACCTAATTTTCATAGAATCCATCCATTTTCTTACTGAAATTAGATTCGGTATCATTATGTTAGCTTTTAGTACTAGTTAATGCCATTCTCCTCCTCCATCCATTTTCCTAATTTTTTCATGAAAATTTAGGGTAAAAAAATAAAATTCAATTCTCTCAGACTTTAGTCATTCTCACTGTTTCTCATATAGATGAAGTAATGTGAATGCATCTGGAAAGATTTTTCTGCTTTTAGTTTAAGATGTGTGATATTATATAAATTTCACCAATGTGTTAAATTACTTATGTATAAACTGAGTTCAATTTGTACTAATAGTTCTAATGCACATAGAGAGACAGCACTGGTGCCAAACTGGAGCAGAGTGAGTATCAGTAGCAGTTCATCACAAACATTGCCCTTGCTGAGACATCATTTCTACTCACAAATGAAAAGCCTGTTCAAAATGCTTGTGTGACTGAGAGTCGGACCTAAAGTATCTGGGTTTGCAAGGAAATTATAATTATAAGCCTGTGAACCAAAATGAAATTCAGAAACTACAGAGTTAATAGTAGCTGGATGAAATTTGAGGAAAGATTGGATCACTAGTATTTGGTGCAATTAGAAAAACCTGTAATTTTGTGTGTAGTACTTCCGAACACTGGAACATTTTATTTGAGTTCGAACTGAACCCTTTATCAAATGCAAGCCAAGCACCAAAAACTCAGATCTTCTGGCTTCAGCATAAATACAAAATCTGCCTCCTTTTCAGAGTGAACAGCATGGATTAGTATTGGAGCCCATTTAGAGCAAGCTGTCCCAAACACCCTTGGATATAATTCCTACAGTGATAGTGGCTTTCTTTTTCTTGCCTCAATTAATACTGATTCATCACTAAGTTTATTCAATTTCTGGTGACTCAAACATTATATAGTGAAAATACATTAAAATACACTATTGCTATAAAAGGAAACAAGTCTAAACAAGAACATTTTAATATGAATATATAAAGCTGTAATTTGGATATATAAAGCTGTATTAAGAGCTGAATCCATCAGAAGGTTCCTATCTTGGCTGCAATGCCGTGTATTCTTTTATGGAGGCTTTAAAATCAGCAGGGCTGATTTGTAATGTTAGGCATCTCCCCTCTGGCAAACTCCTTGTCTAAACTTCCTGCTGAAGTAACCATCAGTTCAGCATGGTAAGCAAGGCCTGTGATTTAGTGGGTTCTCTTATTTAAATTGTCCTTTTAGAACACAAGTACTGTGCTGCAAGGTTTGGGTTTCCTTTATTTTTTTTTAAACACAGTGATCATAGGTATTCCAATAACTTAATAAGTTAAGAAAATTAAGGCAGCTAAATTATTTCACACACATACAAGCATCTGTCAAATGTGTCAGATGAGTGTGTTTTTGCTATTTTTTCTTTTAATTAGAGCAGGTGTGTGTAAGAAGAGACTGTATTGTAAGAATGGAGAAACTTTGTGTTTTTAAGAATTGATCACTCCATGTGGCTCTTCAGAGAGAAAAATATCACTTTTAAAGGTGATTTTCAATGCAGCAGAGATAGATAAATTGTTAAAAAGTGTCTAGTAATTAAAATAATAAAATTGGAAATGGCACATAAGCAAGAAATAAGGAAGGATTTCTATTTTAAACCCTAAGGACACATGCCCCCTTGAAAACTACTAAGAAAATTAGTGGATTCTCCATTACTTGATGGCTTGAAAGCAAGGCTGGATTCTCTGTTGGGTTGGAGTCCAGGCTGGTAGAATAAGCTGTGAAAACCCATCTCTTGTAATCTTCTTGACTCCCTTCTCACCCCTGCTGTCTCTTCTCCCAGGTGCTGCAGCTCTGGGCATGAGCTCAGGCTCAGAATCAGGCTCTGTGTTCCCCCCAGGACACAAACGCTTTGCCACACTGCATAGGGTTTCCACAAGGTTTTGTGTGAGGCCTTTAAAGCAGAAAAGGACAGTTTTTAATCTGAGCCAGGCCTGGTCTAGAGGCTGAAAAAGCCCCTCAGAGCATCTGAGGTGTGAGGGCAAAACTGAGCAGAGGGAGAGAGCTGCCCTGTGTGAGGGACAGCAAGGGAGTGGTTCTGGGGTGATGCTCCTTCCTGCAGAACCTGTCCTTGCTGGGGCAGTGGGGAAGGGAAAGGGTCATCCTGCAGCACATGAGCATGTTCTTGGACTTGTGTCTATGTAGTGTTTAATGCTGCCTCTTTCTCAGGTCTTGTGGTGGCCAAGAAGTGGAGTCTGGCAGTGTATGGATTGTGCACAAATGCAGAGGTTAGGCAAAGATAAAACCTTTGGTTTGCAAAGGAAGAATTTGCTGTTATTTATTGCTGTAATATACAAAAATGAATCATTACAACAGAACTGTGTTTCTTAGATGGCCTATTAGAAGTGAAAATAATATTTTTCTGGTTAATTCCTTTTTCCAATTGTAGGTTCAGTGAGTGAGAAGCTGCCACAACGAGAAGGAGCAGGCAAAACAGGTAAATATCTTAATTGGCCTTTAAATAGAAACTAAAATAGCTGTGGGAGACACTACTGTGGTTTTCCATATATTTAAATTATCAATATAAATTTATGATATATTATAGCTGCATATGTAATATATATGCATGCACGTTATCAATTTTATATTTGCATTGCAGATATTTAGTAAACTTTTAAGTATAAATATATATATATTTATGCATAGACACTATGTTTTTCTAGTCTCAGTCCTATAGATTTTGCAATTCAGTGCTGTTTGGACAACTTTTCTTCCCAGTTCTATACTCTGAAATATTTTCCCATACTTTCTGCTTTTTCTGGAGGACAGATTATTCTGTCTGTTTGATAAAGATGACACTCTGCAGTCCCAGAAGCTTGGGAACTGGATTTCTCACTTTATTTCCATAGCAATCAGTGCTTGAGTCATCTTGGACCCAGCACTTGGCTTTATATTGCAATTAATTCATCTGATGGCTTATATTTATGGCCAGAAGATTGTTGTTGTTTGATATAGGTCATGATGTATATCTTTTTGGCAGAACAAAAAATCTGATATGAATATGACATAGCTTGTAGACTAAAATGAATGAGATGTCTGCTCTAAACAAAATTAAAGTTTACACTCTCCAAACACTTGAAAGAATTCTAGATTCAGCTGAAAACAGCATACTGAATATTCCCATCATTTACACTGCATAAATTAATTTTAAAGAAGTTCCTTTTGTTCTAATGTTAATACCTCTCTATTTGTTGCATGGTAAATATAACTCAAATTTTTTTTACAGGTGCTCTCGCAGCATTGCAATAAATCTAACATTTAAAGAAACTATAGTGCTGTTAGGCTAAAAGAATCAACACTTTTTTAAGGCTAATAGTTACAAAGTACTGAAAAATTGGTCCTTCATGTATTTCCAGACAAATTGTGAGTAGCACTAACCTTAGGTTGCCCATTTTCTTCAGGTCTGGACTTTCATTTTCAGCTTTGAACAGAATGAACTATCCCATATATAAAACTTGACTGGTATCCTTTCTTTTTGTTTGTGGCAGTGATGGCTGAACTACTGAACCCTGAATGAACAGTCATAGAACAAGGAAATGAACACACTTTATCAAATCTCCCTTCTTACCATGTATATTTGTGTCTTAAGTGACATGATTGCATTTTACTCATGCCTGGCTTTTGTTCTCCAGCACAAGCCTGCAGTATTAAAGGCTTCTGACCTGGTTCCCAGGTGGTCCCTGCTTCTTCTCAAACGCTGCTGTCTTCCTCTCCTCAGCCTTCTTCCAGATGGATACTGCCTTATGCTTTAAATAAAGTAGTATTGTCAGAGACATCCCAAATTCTTTAGGGACTCCCGCAGCGTAGGAACCAGGATTATACACCTATCTGAGTTAAGGAGCTGTGCTTCAGCTTCACAGCCAGTGTGGTAAAACATATTTTGTAGCTCAGCTTGCAAGGGCAGAGTAGTATTCTTTTGCATCAACCATAACCCTCTCTGCTCCTCTTTCCTCCACGTGTTCCGGCCCATATTGTAGCCCAGCAAGGTTAAGCTGGTTCACAGGGCTCTCAGTGCTCCAGAGCACATGCTTCAGACCTTCAAGGTGTGGTCTCGAGGACTCTCCCCAAGAGAGAGCATAGATTTGAGACAGTCTCCCCTTCCAAGATGTCTCATAGATGTGGAACTGGTGAGCCATATCTGTTGTACTTGTGCACCTTGCTTTCTCTGGGTGTTCCAGTACTGAAAGAAAACTTTCAGCTGCAGATATTGGAGATCAGGGGCTCTGTTAGCATGTTTGTAAATTTAAACATTAAACTGAACAGAAATGAAGCTTAAAATTTATTCCCTTAAGTATGTTCTCTGGCTCCACAGTTCTTTCCTCTATCCAAGGAAAATATTTATACTCTGAAAAGCACAGGTGTCAGAGTTGGGATCACATCCCTTTTTTCTGATTCTTAAATGACTGCAGGACTGTGTTCTTGGTAACCGAACTCTGACAGCAAACAGAATTTAAACAGGTTTATGTTTAAATATACAGACTAGTATGAATGTGCCAGCCAGGAAGAATTGTGCAATTAGTCTGTGAGATATCTAATTCATATCAGTCATTAAACATATGTTGTATTACAACAACAGCAACACCAAAACTGTTTTAAATGCTGCTTTAACAAAGTTCAGGAGCCTAATTTTGATTGGGCTGATTATCACTGAGTTGCAGCATTATGCTGAATTTCAGGTAATTGCATAAGATTAAATGTGTTACAAACTGAAATTGTGTACCAAAAGATGATTAGAAAAGTGTTATTTAAATGCAGACCCAGTTTCTGGCTTGGCTCTGGGTAATATCTGCCTACCATAAGTTGCCTTCTGAAATACTGGGTTTCCTGAATCACATACTAATTAATGATCTAAATATGTGTCTTGATTTTCAGTACACTAGGATGCTTGATGGCCTCTCTGAAATTAATCAATGGTCTTATTCCACCACCCAGAGGACACCACAGAAATGCCAGCAAAACTAATGAGGAGTGACAGTCTTTCATAGCATTGGAGCAAAGAATCCTGCCATTGTGTGGACACGAAGAATGAGCACTCTTAAAAGAAATCTCCTTATGCCTTGGTTAGATAATTTTGCATTGAAAATAAGCTCCCATTGCTGCTCCTTTGGTTTTTTATAAAGATCATTATTCCATGGCTAGAAATTTGGTTTTACCTGCTATCAACATCTGCTTGGTATCTGTATTTGCTGTGACCTAGACTGTGACCCTTAGAGGCAAAGGTCAGAGTGACCCCAAACCTTTTGCATGATTTAAAGACAACATAGAATTTAAACTACTCGAAGCAGTGATGGTGATAGCAAAGAGAACAGGAGACTCTTGGAATTGCACTAGCAGAAAGGAAAGGAAAGAGATAGTATGTTAGCCTAAAAACTGCTGCTCCCTTGTTACCCAGGTAAGGCTACATGCCAGAAGCAGCTTCTCAGTTACCTTTGATTCTGTCTTCCATGAAAATGCCAAGAAAACAATCTGGAAACTATTTTGGTCTGACATCCACTTGTGAAACTGCAAGAAATAGTAATAAAACCTTTGCACGGAAGATGCTGTTTACTGCAGTACACCTTGGTCTTGGAGTTAGCTCCATGCCACAGGAAAATATGACTGGAAAATATGTACTAGCATGGTCTCCTGAGTCATATTTACCCCACATCTGCAATAGTTTTAAATAACAAAAACATAATAAAGTAAAGATGGGTCTTTGGTACCACTCTGTTTAGCAAAAGCTTGTTTAAATAGTTTTTTATGTTTAATTTTTCTTTTCCAGCACTACCTCCACAGTGTTTTAGTGAACCTAAAATGACTCACATCTTCTTGTCATTTCTGTAATTTTCCCTCCCTCATTTCTTGCAGTAATGGTTGCTAGTGGGTGGATGGAGAATGCTGACCAGAGGATAACAGTTGTGCAAACAATATTCTGGTTATATAATCTGTGAATCTTATTTGTAAATAAACCTGATTCTTGAATAGATCCTGGTGTACTTAAAAATCCCTTTGATTTTAAGGTGTCTGCAGCCACTCATTCCCTCCAGACTCTTTTTGCTTTTACAGGTCTCACTTCTTCTAAACATTTATCTAATTATTTCTTTAGAAATGCTGATTTTTCAGTTATAATCTATAGGTATCAGTGCGCAGCATTAGGAGTGAAGAATAACTCTCCAGAGAGCAACCTGATCACTTCATGCATCACCAAAGAACTTGCAATAAATTCATCATCCATAACCTGAAACCCCATCCATTTATAAAACATAAACTTTATATGTAATATATCTGTGCTGTGTACTGACTATAAAGAATGTTTGAATTATTGTTTACTGGCCGGGGCTATGTGCAAATCATTATTTTCAATCATGTATGTACACTTATTTAGCTTACTTTCATAATTGTAGTCTCCTTGCAAATCTTTTCCATTCTGAATTCAGATGATGCCTCAGCTCCTGCGCTGGAGACTCAGCCTCAAGGTGATGAAGAAGGTGAGTGAATTTAACAGTGTGGTATTAAACTGTGCAGTTATGGACTGTATTCCACAACATAAAATGCCATCCTAGGAGTATCTACAACTGCTGGGGCGGTTGCAGGAAAGTGCAAACATCTGTTCTTTTTTTTAGGAACAACAAAGACAACAAACACAATGCATGATAGTCTGGAGATGAGACTTTACCTGTGGAGACCAACATCAGCAATTTTAGTTGTCATGACTGAGGGCAGACACAGGTTTTAAACTTGAGCCAAAGTGCAGATTAAAACTCTATGTTCAAATAAACAAGTCAGAGGGTAACTTCTGTCCTCAGCATAATGACTAGTAATATCACTGTTGAGGCTGATGTTTTGTGAGGCTTATTTGCCTCTGGAGAAATTAATTGCCATTAAAGAAGCAATATTAGTCCTATGTTGTGGCTGCCTTATCACTCACCGCTAATCTTGCAGAATTTGGGTCTGCAGCCATTATATGTTTTGGGTCCAGAGTAGGACATTTTTATTTTTATTAAAAATAATTTTTATCTAAAAGTATTTATTGAACTTTTAGATTGAAAAATCTTCTGTATGAATAGGACAAGGAAATGGCTATTCATGCCTTTGCATGAATAGTAATCTTAACTGCCCTAATAAAAACCACTGTGGCCTTTTTTTTTTAAGGTCCCTGTTTCTTTAAACTTAGCCTCTATTCAGTTGCTAATAAATTTTAAAAATGTTAACATTTATAAAGTATTTTCTGTTGCCTTTTTTTTTTTCTTCTAGATATAGCTTCTCGTTATCCTACCTTATGGACTGAGCAAGTAAAGAGTAGACAGAACAAAACCAATAAAAGCTCAGGTAAGAAACTTAGGTTGTTCTTACTTTGCAAAGTTCCTGTGAAGGTGTGCATGAACCATTTTAATAACCATCATGCTTCCACTCTCGTTGTATGATAGTGCCTTAATGATTTGCAATAGTGATGATTTACTAAGCTCACTCATCATACATTCCTTTATAGAGGAGTACTTTTGGCCAGGCTTTACTTGGCTAAAATGATATTAGTCCACTAAAGTCTCTGGTTCATACCTATTTGCATCTGTCTAGTGGGTCAGACATTTATTTTTACATTCTTTTTAATTATCTTCCTCTGTGCTATCTGCTTATTTTTGGGTGATATGCAGCAAGAAGGTGCTTGTAAAACGACAGTGTGGATTACTGTTGTTTGGTGGTGAATCTTAGAAAGAAGACCTCAAAAGAAGCAAACTCCCATCAGAAGCCAGTTTTCAGTGAGCAGGAATTGGAAAGACAGTGTTACCTGCTTTTTACTACATCAGTCACCTGCTATTTACAAACTGATCACTAGTTTGATGTGAATTAATTATGTTGCTTTTTAAACAATAAATGTGGAATTCTTGCTTTACTTATTTTCATCACTGTTTAGAATTGAGCTTTTTAAAGCTGGACTAGGAATGTCCGGTGAATGTCCTAAGACTGAATTCTGTATAGTATTCAGATAAATTCAGTGCTTTGGTAGATGATAAATTTTGGTGCCTTTTTCATTGCTTCTTCCTTTCAGTGGCATAAACTTTAGAGAATCTTCCTAGTTTCTATTTCTGTGGAAAAATGTATAGTTTGAAGGCAAACATTAATGATGTAGGCTATGATTCAGTAAATCATTCCAAACCACATTTCAAATCCAGTAGAAATTGAAGTTATGCTTTGCATTAAGTACTGTGCTTAAGTATTTTACTGAATTGAGGCCAAAAGCATTTAGAAAAGACAAACAATCATCATGAGAAAGAAAGCAAGACACTAAAAGGTTGAAAGATTCCTTTATATAAGCTATTTTTAACATCAGTGCAGTTATTATTAATCATTTTTCTCTTCTTGATTTTCCAGTAGGCACTTAAGGGAAGGACCTTAAACAGTGTAGTCAAGAGTTTGAAGCAAATATTTTTCATGCTGGAGATTTAAATTTTCTTTTCTTTAGTCAGTGTAGGCAAGAACAGAATTCCCTTGGGATTTCTGTAGCATAAAATAGGTCTATAGAAATTTGTCACTTAGGAGTGTTTGTTTAATTTTTACAGTGCTAGAGACTAAAGCAAGACTTCTTGAGTTTGCAGTGTAGCTGCCAAAGCTTCAACACACACACACAAACACATATACTAACACAAGTGCACACACAAAGACAAGATAAAAAAGGTGGGTTTATTTCTGGGAACTGGTAACCTCCAGTCCATCTAAAAACATTTACAAGAGAAGAGAAATCAGAAGCATAGCTTACCTCTGTTGTGACTCCTAGCCCATCATCAAAAGCATGATTGTGTTAGATTTGCTAACAGGACTTGCTCACAATGGTGGTGCCATACCCAGGCTAGCAGAATTACTTCAGGAGGTACTGTAAAGCAAACCTCTCTGTAATTTGTAGCTATATCTGATGTTCCAGATTGACATAATCAATCAAGGTGAATCCAGGTGCTAAAAACAGTGACCTCACTGATTGTTGTAGGCAGGGTTTTAAGGTCTTTAAAAAAAAGAGAGAGAAGGATTTTCCCCTTATTACCTCTCAGAGTGGTGCCAAGGCTTTTGGGAACATCTACAGAGAATCAACTCTGGACTGTTTTGTGTACTGAGCAGGAAAGAACTTGCCACTGAATCCAGTAGATTGTAAACTTGCCATCTTCCCACTTCCAGGCTTCAATATAAAGGATAACTATAGATGTCTTCTTCACTCAGTTAGCTTAGTAAACTCTGATTCAGACTTGATCATATAAACATCAGAAAGCTTATTGAAAAGTATTTGTCTGAGGAAAATGAGGAAAATTTATCTCTGCATAGGAACTGTGTTTATAAAACAAAACACAAAGCCAAATTTATTCATAATGGGCTTAATTTCCTTTTTTTTTTTTCTATAGTAATCCTAGTGCTGTCTAAGAATTTCTTGAGGCGCAAATAACGCTATCATCTAGCCTTGCCTATAGAACATAACTAAAAAAAGACAAAATTAAAATTTCAGGCAAGATACTTATATCCTATTTACCGACTTACTATTTTAGTCTATACTGCTTTCTTCTTGCTAGTTTTTACTTGAATATATGTTCTAATGTATCATGATCAACATGTCATCTACAAACTTGTCTTGAGCTGAGAAATCAATCTCCTTAGGAGAAAGGTTTTTTGAGTTAAGGTCACAAATTAATACATTAAACTTGTTTTAATTAATACAGTAAATTTGTTTTAACCTTGAAGTGGTTTGCTTTTACTATTCTGCAAATGACCTGCCAGTTACAATTAGTCAGTAAAATCAGCATAACCTATTTTAGGTTTTGGAAGATAAAAAATAATGGCTCAGGAAATTCTGGTTTATATTAGTTCTCCAGTGCATTCATTTGACTGAATGAGCCTAAATTAATTTAGCACAGAGTAATGGCATTTGCAAGACTCACAGATGCAAGGCATGAAATTAGTAGATTATATATCCATGTTCTATAATGCCTTCTAGTGTGTGTTCTTTTTGTTGGCTCAGAGAAATAGGCCTTTGCCTTCACTTAAGGCATTTGTGGAGTGGTATTTAACTTATTAGTTTTTGAAAACAAATTTTACTCCTGGAAAAAATGCCATCAACACTGGATTATGTTACAATAGCTCTGTTTAGAGTGGCTGTTTTGAGTAGAAACATCTCAATAGATGTTTTGGTACATTTAAGATGATTTCCAAAATACTTTTTCTTTCCATACTTAGACTAGAGTATTCATCTCATTGCTAAAATAGGTTTTGCTGAGATACTTTATACATATGTCACAGTGCCTTTGTAAATATTTTGTGACTACCCCCACAGTCCTCATTTCTTCCTCCATTTCACAGAAAACATTGTGGATTTGCCACATCAGATTGACAGAAGTAGGAATTTTACCAACAGCTATAGAAAATAAACAGAAAACATTGAACAAGGTACTACATGGATTCTGATTAAGACACAGCCTACGCTGCTGTGTGTCTGTGAACTCAGGGTCTAAATTCCTGCTAGGAATTTAGGCATGGTAGCTAGTTTAGATCTGTAGCTGATATTAAGGTATCTGTGCTTTAGGTGAACTTAGTCCCACACTGGTATCAGTTGGAAATCCGAGCACTATATGAGTGGAGAAGACAGTGCAGATACTTTCCCATCACCTAACAGGGAAAATCCACTTCCCTGAGGAAACCTCAGGGTGGACTGTAAATCTCTTAGATTCTCCTTGCTAAATCTGCTCTATCAGCAGTTTATATCCCTGTGGGATTCTTGGCAACACAGTGTGATGTTTTTCAGAGGTTGTACACCATTTTTTCTGTTTAAGTATAGACAAAGAAAGTGTAGTTTAATTCTTTTCACAATGCCCAGTGAAATTCAAATTCATTTTGTTAGCTTGAATTTGAGAGCCATTATTTTCAAATAGTCTGTTGTGGGAGCACTTTCCTGAGAAATAAATAGGGTGAGTTTAAGTGATAACATTTTTAATGTTCAAAAAGATTCTTAAAGTACTCAGTAATTTCTCAGTAGAATCTGTATTTTGTAATAAATATCTAAGTGTAGAAAACACCATAGAATAAACCATACTTAATGTAAAATTTCATTAATTTTGCAAATATAGGAAAGAAAAAGTCATCTGTAACCTGTAATATACTTATATAGGTACTTAAAGACCTTAGAAATCCTGGTGATAATGTAATTCAAGATAAAAAAAGTTTGAATATTGTTCTGGTGGCTAAAATACAATACAGTTTCACCTATTTACTATTCAGTTCTCTTATTATAATACTTTTATCTGTTTCTGTAGAGATGTAATAGTATCGTAGCGCTAATGATTTATATGTTCATTGATCATACATTTGTGGATTGTGTATTTAATGAGCATTGTAAAGGGGTTCTAAAACTGGTGTTATGTTGATAATCCAGTATGACCAGTATGACCAAAACAGAACAGAGGAAGAAATTGTTGCCTTTTTTTGTTGACCCAATTGTTCACATTTCATCTGAACCACACAGACAAGTGATGCAGTGTTTGTGCCAGCTCTGTGATTTCTGTCATCTTTATGCTTATATGCTTTAAACAGGTGCTAGTGGACAAGCCATACTTAATCCATCATAATAAAGGGCTGACCCAGAGAAAATCCTGATCTGCCATTAAGGCTTCTGATGCAGGGTCAGGTTTATGTGATTATGACATTTTTCCTCCAGAATGAAGAATTATAAATCACAATTACATCACAATCACATAATTGTCTCCTCAAACTATGGTTTTAGTGATTTCAAGAGTACCCAGATTTCAAACCCCTTAATCTGTATATTCTGGTAGTGTAGAATCATCATCATAATTTTTTACTTCACCTGTGAATACATGAAAGGGACACATAGCTTTTTATTTAATTTTCTGACACAATGGAGCGGTGCTTTATTGCTCCCTTTTTGCTACAGACTATCATTTTCAGGACTTAAAAAATCTGTTGCAAGATTTTATCAATTAGTCCCAAAGAGTGTGATCCAGGAGTTTCATTCTCAAAACAACATCTGGGAAAACACAGATGAGCACATACAGCAATGTATTATAGACTTGGTGCAAATGCAAATGAAAACAGTTGGTATGATGTCTGCTGAGAATACCTTCTTAATAGACTAAAATAGTGAAATCTAAAGTGATAATTATGTGTCTGTATCTATACAAAATAGCTGCTGGCATTTATCTGTCTATAGTCTGAATCTGTTGGCAAAGTGTGCTAGTAAGACTGATTAATATGACAGAGTAACATTCTAAGAGGTGAATGTAGTTTTTATTGCCATGTCATCTGACAGCTTCAAAGCATTTGTACATTAGAGTTTTTCT